AAAATAATAATAATCATATTTTTTTTTAGTCAGAAATAGTGTTATTTATTGGAATATTTTTTATACCAGGTGATGCACATAAAAGCTGTTCGGCTGTACATCTTCCATTACTTGTGATATTCAAGATTTTGGAAGGGCAGGGTATCTATCGACCTGTCCAATCCTAGTGCGGTCGGGGGGCTGCCCCTTAGGGTAACCGAACTTACCCTTCCTGATAGGAAAAATCTCCTAGGAAAGGTAGCCCTAGGGTGTGTACTGTAGCTGACCTTATGTTGAGTGTAGGTGATTAGTGTACTGTTCTGGTGAGTGTGGATCGTGTACTGAACTGTAACCAGTGGGGGCACAAGAAATTCAGTTTTTAGAAATAATGTTATTTGGCAAATAGGATGCGGATCTTTGTTCTATAAATACTATAATGAGTAAACCATCACATCTAATAAAAAAAAAGATAATTATTTTACTTTATAATGAATCATATTAAGATGAAAATTCTTAAAACATAATTAAAGCAATTATAGAATCACACAAATAAATTAATGAACTACCTTGTATTTCATTTAAATTTAATCTCTATATGTTCAAATCATTGACGAAATTATTTTATCAACGATCAAAATTATTATTACACATAAATCATTAAAATAATCACATTTTGTAGCAAAAAATCATAATTGAAAAGTTCCTCATAGAGAAGTAGCCATTGAATCCAATAAAGTTTCAATTTTACATTAAAATAAGTAAATAAAATATGATATATTCATATTTCTATATAGTCTACATTTCTTAAGGTTTATTTTAAAATCATAGATATTCAGCTATAGTGGAAAAGTTTCTATCTTTGAGGTTATAGCCCAACTTCTCTATACTTTGAAATAAATAAATTTAGATTTTCTATTGTGATTATCTAATAAAATATCGATTGAATGATTACGGTAAAAGTTGTCCATGTGAATGAGTCACAACTTTTTTTAATACTAAGCATTATTCAGATGGAAGAGAAAGAAAATATCAATAACAAATTGATTAAAAACCTGAGCTGAATGGCATATAAAATGAAGCCATGAGAAATCTGTTTACAATAACACTCGAGGGATATGGCCTCACAGTACTAACATAACATGGAGGAAAAGCCCCAATAAAAAAACTACTTACAGAAACTAGTCAATCAGTATCTCATGGTATGAATTTAAAGAGGTTAAGATGAGCAGAGTATATAGCTTGAAGCAATCCATCAGGAAGTTTCTACGCAACAATAAATGTCACCACAACAGTTGGCAAAAACCCAGATGAGAGTCTAAAATCCAGGTGGACGAATAGAGTCAACAAAGATACTCCAGAGCTGCATGCTGCAAAACTGGAAAGCAGAAGGCTAAGACAAGCACAGGTTCAAGTGACCAAAAATCAGTAAGGTCTGTAAGGCTCTTAGCAAAAAAACTTACTAAAATATTTTGAAATTACTTGTTTTTGTTTGTTAGCTGCACTTAAAAATTCTTAAAGCTTTTAAGTTCCATGAAAATTTCAATTTAATAATTTGTATAAAAGGAAATAAGGCTTTATATTTAATGTCAATGAGTGATATAAATGAACTTTTTACTAACAACATTCATTAAATGTATAAAAATAATGAATGAAATAATGACAATCATATACACAAGTAAAAAAAAAAAAAAATCAAGTTTCCTGATTTAAATCATTTTTTACTTATTTGTGTGGGTGCAATTGAGCTTCACATTTGCTTTTTATTTAAGATAGAATAAATAAATTAAAAAAAGATAACAAACATTTTCCCTTGAATACATAATTATCGAAACCATTGGCATAAGAATTAATGAATAAATTTGATTCTATTTTGTAGATTTATTTAAGAGGATTGGCAAAATAAAAAGATTGAAACTGAATAATACATAAATCATTCTAGATTATTTTATAAGTTTTGACAAAACATCAAGGTTATAGAAAAAGAATATAATAATCGAAATATTATGTACAATCTGAGAGTAAATAATTTTTTACCAGATCCAATTGCAGATCTAATATAATAATCCAACTGGCGCAATTCTGTTTCACTATTATTTGAACGAATCATCTCAGGCAAAGGCGGATTTACGGGAGGGGCTTTCCGGCTGAAGCCCCCCCAAAATGGTAAAATGTAATAATGTTTTATGGTAAAAAATTATGTCTTAAAGTATTATTGCTCGTTTAATTACATTTAATAGGACTTAAAGAATCACTTAAACACCATTTCATATAGGTAGTTAGTATCTTTCTGTTTTTCCAAAGTAATTATCTTTTTATATATGAAAAAAAAGCTTCCGTGCTGAAGCCCCCCCCCCCAAAATTAAATCCTGGATCCGCTAGTGATCTCAGGATCAAAAGAATTATATTTTTACACAGTGTTGCCCCAAACACTTATTTAAAAATGTTTTTAATTTATCATTCATTTATTTCCAATTTAATGGCAATCTTTAGTATTTTAAGTGAAACATTTTTATTATCTTGTTATAATATTTGATATTATAAAATCTCGATTAAATCTTAAGATGTATACTGATTTCCATGTTGCTTTGGGTACAATGTCCACTACAAAAATTGCTTTATCTTCGCAGACATTGATAACTGTTCTTTTAATTTAAATGTCTTCAAAATGAGGATTCAGAATGCCCCAAGAGGCGTCTCAATGTTTCCCGAAAATAATAGACTTTTGGATTATCAATGCTCATCGGAGGGTAATGGGCATGTATCTCAGAACTCGTAGTATAATGGGTTTCAAGGATATGAGTATATTTCTCCCAGTACATTTCGAAATTTTCAGCTTTCTTCTTTGGGCCTGATAAGCTGAAATAGGATTATAGTTTCTAGGCAGAACCACAGAAGTGTGGATGAAACAATTTGATTTTGAAACAATTGAACAAGTGATTGACGTCGGGTGTCCACCGTTTGGCGTGCATTAACTCAACAATGATTGGTTAAATTTAGCCTTGATTTAACTCGCTTCAAAACCTATAAAACCCAATTTGTCTCGACTCGAAGCGCCGAAGTGTCACCGTCACATTGTTTTAATTCTAATTTTTATATTCATTTTAATTTTAAAATTTACTTATACCTGTTTCATCAAAATCCGTCGCTCCTGAGATCCTGCGAACTGTATTCAGAAATAATATATAGAATATAGATAGTAGAAGATATTTCTTTCGATATTTCAGTTCAAATTGTTTCAAAACACTCACGGAATCTCAGTGAATAATTTGAATTATCGTTTACTTAATTAACGCATATCTTTGTACTCAGAAGTTGAGATTTACTTTTTTCATCTTTGCTTTTTGATCACTCCTTTTGGAAGAAGTCAAAGGGATGTGAAACGATCTTCTCTGATTTATGCTATCGGATATCATCCCTAGAGAAAAAGCGACACACAGATTCACTCTAACTACAACAGGTGAGAGGACAACGAACCTGTTTAATTGATTTCCGTTAGTAATTGGGGACAATTAATGGGACCATTACCTTGGATTGCTATGGCCGAATTGGGAGAACCCTATTGGCTCGTGGATCAGGACTAGCGGTAGTTCTCAAAAGGGTACAAGCTATCATGCCGTCCATCAGAGCAATGGAAGAATAAATCGGAATTATGAAGATAATAAAGAGCAATTAGGCTGAGGTGATTCAATCGTCAATCGTCAACGGCTTCCTGGCCGTCGGTATAAAAAGCTGCTCTGCTCTGGAATAAAGAGGAGGGCGATTAAAACCGGACGTAGCAGTTTTTCATGCTTCAGCTCCGTGTAGTGGCTATCTCTGCTATATACAGTTTGTTATTATAATTGGACATCAAACAAAACATTACTTAGCGCAAATTTATTTTTTTATCACTAGCTAGAGAATTTGTTTCCTTTTCAAGATTTTCTCCATCCAAAGCAACTTTTCAATTCCCTTAAAATTTTCACATTTCGCATGAACCTACGAGATTTTATTAGTTGGTGAATATTAAGTTATAACAATGAAAACACAAGAAGTCTCAATTTTTTCTTATGCATAATTGCAAAGATAATTTGTGTTAAAGAAAAGTGGTGGAGACAGAGATACATAACGAGAGGAGTGCAAGACACCGCTACATCATGGCAATCAGAGCCTATCTCATACCGTGTATTATCTTATACTTTTTAGCTTTGAGTTTTTAGCTGCAAAACTTCCACTGCCACCCTGACATTTCAGAATAAAAATTTTTAGTTAAAATTTTTTTTTTTTTTATTTTATGTTATAAATTAGAGCAGAGTGAGGTTGAATAATGTTTGGCAGTCGTATTCAGACTCTAGCCACGCCTCCAATCTCCACAACCCCTCCGTGACGCACTATTATTCCAAGTTTTTAGCTAAATATGAACCTACCAGCTAAAAGTGTAACCTCTACTTTATATACGTTCCTAATCACTATAATTAAATTACAGAACAAATTCATGCAGTTTTGATTCTTTGTAAGTACTCCATTTCTGAAGAGAAACAATGTTGTGCATGTAGCTTCCCAATGTCCTCCTTTACAAATGAATATGGTATGTATAAAATACAAAGATACAATGGCTGCTTTAAGAGGATGGTTTCGAATCACTTTTATATATATAGTTGAGTTACATACACAATTCAATGTTGCTGCTGTACCTACTACTTTATAGTATATTTATGGCGTTTCTTTAAAACTTATAATTGCTACTAAGACTTACTAGCTCTAATTGTATATTGTATATTGAATAAGATTTTGTTAGTTTTTTAACTGTTTTTCTGTATAGGTCTCATTTATTTATTGATTTCCTGTTAATTGTAAATAAGATAATATTTAGATTAGTAAGGCTTTGCTCCAAGGGGCTTGACAAAATAAATTTAATTTGAATTGTAATTGATTGAAAACTAAAATATAATTAGGCATATCACATAAATTATCAACCATAATGATATATTCACACAAACACACACATATGTTAAGTTACCATATGAGAGGGACCCGGCCTAGGAATGCAGTTGGTATTCTTTAGGAAAAACGACAAAATTAAAAAAGGGAGAGAATGTTATAATCTATTAACTTTTGAGACCAATTCTGGTAAAAGAAGAATATCAAAAAATAATTAATGCATTAAAAAAAAAAACGCTGCACAATCTCATATTGTGTAAGTTAATAATTTTTTCTTTGTTAATTATTTAGGTTTGTTATTGAAAATGAAAAAAATCTGTACCACGACAACGCATGGAGGGTTTTGGATTCAGTATTTTGTAAGGAAGTACTGTTTCAAGATCAACGCTTGTGCAGTGAGATAACACAGCCGGGATCACGCTCAACCACCAGGTGTCTCCTTAATTAATTATTTAATTATGAGTACCCATTTTATATATTTAATTATTTTTTTATATTACTTCGATATTATTCTTTTACCAGAATTGATCTCAGAAGTTATATATTTACGTTACACACTGACCTTAAACCTCCTTTCATCACGACAACTGCCACTGACCGCTTTAATAATTTTCATGACAGACTGACTCTAAATTCAAATCCACTTACTCAAGCTCTATCTACTGCCACAAATCCATATAATCCGTCCAGAAGACTTTTTTCTTTTTGTTTTGTTATTACTATTTTTTTTTTTTTTTTTTTTGCTATCATTTCTTCCCCTTGATATCATATTCGCTGAATACCGAGGTAGATGGCAAATTTTTTGTAAGGCAGGAATATGTGTAACTAATAAAAAATAATTTTATATATGCTGGGTTTGCCCCAGGAGGATCTCCTGATCCCAAGGTCTATCCACGGTTGATGTAATAGAATAAATAATTAGCTGCCACAGCCGGACTCGAACCCAGGACCTTTAGCCTAGGAAGTCAGTGCTTTATTGACTGAGATACTCCGCTCTCTATTGAAAATAATATATCGAAAAATACAAATTAAACAAAAATCATGATTGTAGTTTGTAATAAATTGAGGATGAACATGAGTAACATCAACCATCTCCTCTATTATTTCTATTGTGTTTTATATTTCAAAAGAAACGCCTTTTCTCAAAGCCCCACACTTGTATTTATTGTTACCATTTGTTTTATAAGTTATGAATTTAAAAACTTAGCATAATGACATATTTGTTATGTAACAGGTACATCCTGACAGTTTGAAGCAGATGAGAAAACTGTCAAGTTGTCCCATGTTGTCAATGGTGTTCTCAGCGCATAAGTGTCATGACTACGCAAACTTATGACGTTATGGAGCTGAATGATTTTTTATTTTTATTCTGTTTTTAATCAGATATAGTTTATGAAGTCAGGATGAAGCAACTTGTCCTATTTGTCAAAACGTAGACAGGGGTGACACCAGTAGGCGGTTTCCCTTTCGAAATGTTTAGTCTTTAAAATTAATTTGAGTTAAATAAATTTGATTCTGATATATGGATAAAAGTAAAGTAATTCACAATTAATTTATCGTTCATGAATTATGAAATTATTGATTTAATTATTACTGAAGTCAGTAGCGGATCCAGGATTTAATTTTGGGGAGGGCTTCAGCCCGGAAAATATTTTTTTCATATACATATAACGATAATAAATTTGAAAAAAAAAGAAGAAAATTAACTACCTATATGAAATGGTGTTTAGGCGGTTCTTGAAGTCCTATTAAATGTAATTAAACGAACAAGAATATTTTAAGAGATAGTTTTTAATATTTTTTTCTGTAAAACATGGTTATATTTTACCATTTTGGGGAGGCTTCAGTCCGAAAGCCCCTCCCCCCCCGTAGATCCGCCTGTGACTGAAGTGTATTTAACAAAAAGAAAATTATGATTAAGGAACGATACTATTCATAGCATAATTATTTTTAGTAATATAATCAGTTCTGGATGAATGAAAATGAAAAGTATACATATATTAAAATATGTCATCGCTAGTATTAAACGTAGTAGTTAATGCAATTCACAGATTTTTTAATATATATATGAATCTCTCCTGTACTTATTTTTTTAATACCAACATCTTCATTTATAAATTTATAATGTTATTCATAAAATATTAAGGATCATTTTTACCATAAACAAATGAAAATTTTACACTACTGTATCCTGGCAACTCAAAACCATGTCGTGTTTATCTGGTTCATATTGCTATAAGTTCAATAAATATATTTTTAAAAATTATGACTAAAAAAAATATAGAATTTTTTTTACTAATAGTTGTAGGGAAAAGTATTACGATCATGATAATTTCGAACCATAACGAAGGCTCACATAATGGTTTGTGCATCTGTTTGTATATATGAGCGTATCTCGAATTCGAAAAATAGTATAAACTGAAATTACGAATTTACGTTGGTATGTAAATACAACTACAATGTAACATGGTATTTTACAGCAACTTTTCTCTCAAGAGAAAGAAGAGAGATCTGTAAAAACTAATGACATTACTTGCTTTAGTAAACAGTCCATTTCGTTTATATACTGAATAGAAAATAAATGTTTCCATAGAAACTAAAGGTTAACTTTTCAAATTTATTTTTAGGCTACTAAACACAGAAATCATAGGACACAGAATTGTCTTACTGTATGTGAATTCGTTAAAGTAAAGTCTTAAACTTCATTAATTTATTTTACACTAATTCATACCGTGAAGTGGGTTGAAATATATGCTATGGTTCACACCATTTATTTTTTTCTTTACGTTAGAAAGAATATGTTAGAAAGAAGGTTTATTGAAATCAATTGACACAAAAATAAATTATATATTTTTCCTTGTATCCAGAAGAAATTAATACAGTATCAGAATGTAATAAAAAAAAATAATAATAAAGGTTGTGTGGAGGAGTTTGATATATATTTTGGATGTTCAAGCTGTTAACACCAAGACCTCGTACATACTATTCCCTCATAATCAATAATAAGAATAATAGCGAAATGGTTCTAGGCATGCTTAATTGTAAATTTCTGTGCGTTAAATATTAAAAATAGAACTAAAAAATATGTATTATTTAGAGAAAGTTTCAAAACTGAAGGTGACTGACTGGAATCACAACTTAGTGACAACTAGAAATATCCCAGGAAAAGACCCGTTGACTAAATAACTGACCGAAGGCAGGCACACAAATCAGGACAGATTACGATCTTACTCCAAAACATTCAGTCTTCTTGGTCTCAGAATAAAATAGATCAGTAAAACCTCAACGTTTTGATTTCCAAGGTCCTTCTATCCTCAAAATAAAAAAAAAAAATGTATTTTTTTTTAATAGTTCAGTACGGAGTTAGGAGTGTAAATGATTACAAAAAATATGCCATATATTATACACCAAATAAAAACGGATAAAGATAAAATTTATCATAATATTTCTACAGTAAATATATCTTGTTTTTTAATATTTTGAATACACAGTGTGTTCGTAAGAGAATTGATTGATAAATATGTTAGACACGAAACGAACTCGAGAAGTCACGCCCCATTATCAAATGTCAATTTGTGAGATTGTTTTGAACATTTTTTGAGAGTTAAATTAATCAAAGTTGTTAATATTATCAAGCCATTAAAAAAAAAATCAAAATTACCATACCTAAAATTATTATCTATAAATAGAATAAGTTAATAAACTGAATTTATAAACAACTTATAAAATATGATAAGGCAAAAAAAAAATAACGGTTATAGGTGAAATTATATATAGTCTAAAACTACAATCAACAACCATTTATGAAAAATCTCAGTACTTTTGCTTCGTCTTCTGAAAGTGAATATTTTGTAGACTTACTATAATGACATATGCATATATTATTTAAGAAAATAGTACGTATTTTAATGTTTTATATTTATATTATATAAAACATAAATATATCGTTAAAGTACATTTATAAAATATTAACATTCTGAACAAAAAGTAATATAAAATTACACAATTAAATTATCAGACCTAAATCGCGACTTAATTTAATTTGTAGTTCTTATCAATTAAGAAAACAGTTCATCATTATTATATGAGTAAAAATAGTTTTCTGAAGATAACAGTAAAAGTCTGCAATATAAAAATTATTTTACAAATTAAGAAAATATTGGTATTAGTATTTTACGTAAAACATAATTTCCATTAGAGAGTGTTATTGTATTGGAGAGATTTGGATTCGAAACATCCCATGAATAGATTTGAGCATTGGAATAGATTTTTTTGAAATTGCACATCAAAGTTAATGCTTTACGAATTGAAGATTGGAGGTTTTTTCCATTTCCTTTTCACAAAGCGAGGTGCAAGTTGACAGATAAACCTGCATTCTTTATTAAAGTTCAACCGGTTCCGTGAAAAAAAATATTATATAAAATTATGCACAGAAATACTGTATAAACAGTAAAATAAAAAAAGGCACAGAGATATATGCCATGAGTTTACTTCGCTCCTTTTGACACGAATAACATTTTTAATAAATAAATCTGAGAATTTCTTATTAGAAAAATATAGCTAGTTGGTCCAAGTTCGACGTGACATTGAAAATATATGCAAGCTATTGATAATTAAAAATGTAATTTTGATATTATATTCTGGTTGTCTTTTGTGTTAAGCACTAAAACGATGCAGATCGCACACACACACACACACACACGCACGCACGCACACACGCACACACACACACACACACACACACACACATATATATATAATTATATAATTTGTATAATTTAGGTGAGGGATTTCGTTTGATTTTTAGGGCTGGTTATGTGTTGCTGTTGTATTTGTTTAGTGAAGGTGAGAATACAATTGAAGAATGGGAACTTTAGTTGAGTTTTTTAATATTGTTTTATGATTTTATAATATTGGCATTTTATAAGATGATTAGTGTTCATCTATTTTAAGTAGTTGATATTTATTTATGTTTTTAGCAATTTTAAAGTATTTGATATTTATTTATATTTTTAACGATTTTAAAGTTAGTTCGATGATATATATGTATGTAATGTTAATTAGTTAGGATACGTTAATTTATAACCAAGAGTTGTTATTCAAGCTGTTTTTGTGCTCGATAGCACTAGCAGATCCAGGATTTAATTTTGGGAGGGGGGGGGGCTTCAGCCCGAAAGATTTTTTTTTTTCATAAATCTTCATAAAAATAATTTGAAAAAAAAAATTTAACTACCTATATGAAATGGTGTTTAAGTGGTTCCTAATGGTGTGAAGTCCTATTAAAGGAACAAGAATACTTTAAGAGATAGTTTTTAATATTTTTTTGTGTAAAACATGGTTATATTTGACCATTTTGGGGGGGGGGGGCTACAGCCCGAAAGCCCCCCCCCCCGTAGATCCGCCT